TCCGGACCTGCCAGCAAAGCAGGTTTAACACGGTATTTACGATACAAAACGAGGGTCGGTAGTTCATGGGGGGTTACCATATATATATATATATGTATATATATATATATATATATTTACATGTAACGGAAATTGAAGGGGTTTAAACGGCATCACACCCACGACCCATGTCCCTGAGCTTTCAATCCTTATCCAAGCAAAACGTTGTAGCGACTTTGCCCTTCGGTCTTGCAAGCAAAATGCCGACTGGAGTTGGAAAAACGATTTCGGTTTTAGGTGTTTAGGGTTATTTCCTCTCGCATTGCAGAGATCAAGGCGTTTAGGGTTTTGGGGAACAAACCTGAAGCAAATGCTGATTTGTGGTTGTGCATGAAGAGGTACAGCCAACGCAAGAGGAGCAGCCAGTCCAATCAGCTCAATGAGGCTATGAGTGGAAGACTCAAAACGAGGGACATGGCGGGTGAAACTGCACTGACATGAAACATCAAAAGGACAGTGACATGTCCACCAACATGAAGTTACGAGTGACCAACATGAAACGGCCAATGAGCAAACCAACAGACCTTCCTGACCTATATCAGGGCCTCCACTCAGAGATGACATCACACCCGGTTCAGCTGCAGACCAACGATAGCTCAGAACCCTTTCAGACCAAATGTCATGTTGTCGGCGTTGACTTCTAGACTCCTGCACAGAACCAGGAATTGCCATGCACAGCAAGTTCAGTGAAATGGAACATCAGAATCAAGATGACCAAGTAACGTCCTAGACTACAGAAGTCCAAGTAAAGGCTTAGGGTTTGCAGTTTATAAGGGTCAGTTCTCACTTTCAGGAAACTTCGCTTTGGATATCCTAAGTTCAGCGAAATGGGTTGGGGTTATTGTTTGTTTCGGTTCGCTTTAGATCCTAAACCCTTTTTTAGCATGGGCTTGGATTGTGTCCTAAACCGCCTGAACCATAAACCGTTCTTAAGTTTAGATCCTCCAGGCGCTGTCGCCGCTCCGACAGCAACTGCTGGACCAAGATGCTTCCTTGTCTTGGGATTGCATGGTTTAAGGTTTAGGGGGTGAGGTTTCGGATTTGAGTTGCATTTAAGGTTCCTGTCTTGCAACTGCATGGAGTGTTCTAGGGCGCTCCATATCGGTTCAATGTAGCATATGGGGCCGCCTCCTGTAGAGTGTAGAGTAGGTCATGCTGCCAGAGCGCATTCCTGTTCTGTGGAAGTCAAAAGCAGATTGGATGACACAGTCGGTGTGTTGCGGCGCTCACACTCGGACAAGCCAGGCAAGGTTCTTGGTGCGTAGTCGGCAGAGGTGAAACACTTCCAAGAATGCTCTGACGGAAAGAACAAAAGACTTACAAAGTGTTCAAGAAGCAGGGCATCGTTGGAAGAAATGCTTCAGAGAAGCCTCGACAGGGGGGTACAGGTCCTACAGGTATCAGGGTCGGTGTGTTAGGGGTTTGGGACGGTCAGCAACGCAACATCCTACACGCCCTTTCACAATTGGGCGGACGGCAGAACCATGTGTATCCTTAGCAGTACAAATGCTGGCCCCAAACCCCTGCTTGAGACGCTCCAAATATCTGTATTCTACAACCTAGGTGTCCGCCCTTAAGGATCACAGGTTCTCATCATGCAAAGCCTGTGCCTGAGCAGAGCCGACACAGACTAGTACAGGCGCACTTCCCCTTTCGAACCCTTGATGGAGCCCTGAATCGGAGCCCTTGACCTTGACGGAAACCCTAAACAGACCAAGGATCTCCGCTCTGCTTGCCCTGCTTCCGCCATTTCGCCGGGCTCAACATGCGGAGAGGGAGCACGTGGCAGGAAGGAGGGAGGGGGGGTGACGGAGGGCTTTTCAGCAACCGCACATCGTGGACTCCGGCACCGGATTGTTGGGTTGAGCGTTTGGCTGAAGAGGGAGAGATGAATTAAACCGATTCCTGCGCCGTCACTTCCCTGCAACTTGCGACAGCTCCAAAGCACAAAGCCTGCAGCGACTGTCAAGAAATGGCTTACGACACGAGGTCTGACAGAAATACAACGGTGCTTGCAGTAGACAATGCCTGGCGATGATCAGATCGCCGAGTCTTAGTGGTTAGGGTTTACACTCTCACAACTCGGACAAGCCAGGCGAGGATCCATAGGTGCAAAGGGGTTAGGGTTTAGAGTTTGGGGTTTGTTCTTAAGCTTCCCTGCTCACGTGTGGAACACAACGGAAGCCACCTTCAACATCTGGGTGCAGGAGCCGAGGTCCAGTTTTTCGCTTCAACCCACATGCCCTCCCAGAATGAAGCAGCAACCTCGAGCACCAGTATACTGACTGTTACTCCCCGCACCTTTTTCGCAGTATTGGCATGTGTGTATATATGAATACATACATACATACATACATACATACATACATACACACATACATACATACATACATACATACATACATACATACATAGATACATACATACCTACATACCTCCATACCTACATGCCTACATACATACATA